GTAATTTGCTGTGTGAGTTCTGGCAATTTTAAATGACATTGCACTTTTTAATTTTTCCAAAGGCTCAGCAGCAAATTTATCCCAATCAAGAAAGCCTATTATTAATTTACAAGGACAATTGTAGGAGTCTTTATAATTTCCCTGTGCAATTATTTGCCATAAATTGCTAATAGTGAAATACATGAAGTTTGCAAGAAACACAACTGCTATTTATCTAGACAGATCCCTCAGCCCAGATCTTGAATGTTGTCCAGAGGTTCTAGTGCTATTGACAACATAAGAAATATAACCAAGCTTCTGGACGGTTTCTAAAATATTTCACACTGATAGTACCAAAAAAGGTAGAAGCATTAAGAGCTATTGTGAAGGGTAGGCTGGCCTCTAGCAGATTCCTTTACTTTGCTTGTATACAGCTGAGCTTTGGACCCTGGACTCTGGAATAAAAAGAGTCTTTGTTCATCACTGAATGGCATTAGGCATGGGCTTCCTAAGGGGCCACCATGAAGCCTAGCATGAAGAGTGCAAACATTATCCAGAAAGCAAAACGAGAATGTGTCTGAGGAGATGATGGACAAATATTGCTATATGTGCATTGCTATACATTTATCTATATTTATATTACACAGAGTATTGCAGAGTATCCTTTATTCAGTTTATGTATGGAGTATATTTTGCGGATGTGTGCCAGTGCTGACTATGCCTGCATGTACAGACACTGAACATGCATGTGTATGTATTTGTGTCTGCAGCAGTCAAAATGCCCCACAAGGCAAGTTTTTAACATTTAAAGATCCAATACAGGTAAAACTAAAATTGCAGGTGTCTGAGTTCTGATCTCAGTTGTATATCACACAGAGCCATTTGACTGAAGATACTTTGTTAGTCTGTGAATGATGGAATGCAGAGCACCGACAAACAGCACACCGTTATTCCAATAATGGAGAAAGTTCACTGGCTTAATTCTGTACTTCGTAGCCATAGCTCCACTGTGTGTTCAGTATGTCTAGTCTCTTTTCACTTTAACCAACAGAAGCACCATACAAAAGTCTTACAATGGATGTCTTAATCTCTCTGTGTGCTTTTAGAGCATTATTTTGAATTCCATCATGCAGGCTTTTTTTTTTTTTTTTTTTCTTTCCTCCTCTGAAGTTTTATTACAACAACAGAATTCCCAGGGAGCTTTAGGGGCAAGGTTCGCATAATATTGCCCTAAAGTTTTGCTTGAGGGGTGGAATCCGCACCCCAGTCCTGATCATCTTTTTGTGGTGTTTCTCTTTCTGAAAGATGCAGTGCGCAGTCTTACAGAGTTGTTAACTGTGTACAGATTTTTTTATTGTTTACCAGACAGTGCACATCTACGAACCTTTCATGATGATTTCTTTCTCTGACCTCTCAGTGACTAGGCATCTTGTTCCTTAACACTGAGGGAGGCTGAAAAATGCTTGAGTTGCTCAATGTGTGCCTTCTATACCAGTTTCAAAATGGCTTATTCTTCTGGTTTCCATGGTGACAATTAACACTGTTACAAGGCATTGTTCCAGTCTCCATTTGGGCAGAATTTTCGGGTGTGATTTTTCACACAAAAAATGTTTTATATAATTTTTTAAAAAGAAAAAAAAAAGAAAAAAAGGCACAATTTAGTATAAAGTGTCAAAAAATGTGTCTCAATCCAGGCTGCCTGGATTTCTTAGAATGTTCTTATTGGGGAAGTAAGGTTTTAACTTGCTTTATTTTGAAATTCAACTTCTCATAGTTTAAATCTTTTTGCCAAACTTATTCACAGATAAAAGCTGCTCCCTTTTTTTAAAACTCTACTATTTGTCCCTTGAGAAATATTGATTGTATTGAGTGAGAAGGAATAAAAAGCCAAAATTCTTTAACTTACATAACAATGTTTTGGATTTCTTTTGAGTGGCTTCAGGAACACAAAATCAACCATGCATACACACAGCTAATCATGCTGTAAATATTTTGCAGTTTTTCCAGTATGTTGTTGTTTGGGTTTTTTCCCCCAGTTTTTTAGTACAACAGATATTGTAACAAATTAAATATTACTCAGTTATTTAGTTAGTTATTATTGTGTCTGTTGTGAGAAGCCTGTGACTTTAACTTTCTTAATTTCATTTTTGGCTATTAAACAGTAATGTATATCATAGCATTGACAGACTGTCACAATGGAGCAGCCTTTGCTTACTTAAAGCTGAGGAAAGAATGAAACCGAAGATTAAATTATCTTCTCACCGCAGGATTAAGTAGTTTTAGCAGACTAGGGTTGTGAGCACTGATAGAGCTGGTAGCTAATTTTTCCATGCAACTGCTTAGAGTGTAGGTGTTTAATGGATTAAAAAATAGCATTAGCAATAGCATCTAGTGCTATCAGTTCTTAAACTGTACCTCCTGTACATTAAGCTCTTCCCTTAACTTAAAATACACACTGTATGTTAAATATCCAGGAGTGAAACAATACTGACTCTCAGTCACATACCAATGCATCTAATAAAGAACTGAATTCTTTTATCTTTTACAGTTACAGTATAATGCATTTTCTGTCAATCAGCACTTTCTTCATGCTTGTTTGTACAGTAGGTTACATGGTGACAAAGACAGAGCGTGTACATAAAAAATTTAGCTTATTTATTTTTTAATGTAATAACCTTTTATAACATCTGTCACACTATTCGGATTATGCTGCACTGAATTATTTTATCTGGCCCCAAATTAAATGAAAGGTCTTCTGTTTCTATGTTAACAAGAGCAATGTAGTAACGAGACATTCAATGTATTTTGTTTCTTCATCAGTCCTGCACTGTCCAGGAACATATCCAGGCCCCGTCCAGGCAGCAGCAACTGTCAGCCTAGAACAGGTGACGAGTATTAACTGGCTGTGCCTGCACCAGTGTCACACAGCTAGAGGACTCCCTCAGTCTATTAATTCACTTGACAAAAGAAAGGCAGTAGCACGAACTGGATTTCAGTGCCTAGCAAATTGGACTCTGGATTCCCCTTGATGTTACATGTACTTATGGAAATAATTATGCAAATCCTTTTCAGCTATATCATCTTTAAATAGAAATCAGATTACATAAAGGAGATTGTAATCTCCTTCAGTAACCATTCTAGCTGAAAAGGCAATAATACAGGACCAAGAAGCATACTTGTTGAACATTCTAGTCCAATAAAATGGAGTTGCCTCTTGGCAGATCCAGTTCCCTAGTCCCAAACCTGGTTGATACCTACTGTTCTACATTTCTAAAACCATAGCTGCAGTACACCAAGTATCAAAAGGCAAGTTCTTTGTAAACAATTCCTTGGTTTTTACTATGCATATTCATGTAATTTTGGATACACAGACACCTGATCAGTGTTCATTAATAATGAGAAATGGTTTAAATCACCTCATTTAAAACATTTGCTCTATGATCCACAAATGACTAATATTTGCTGAAGTTTACATAATACAAATGATGTGCATGTGTTGTGTAAATGAGAGATTAAAATATGAAACTAACAATATGCAAACATATGCATGGAAATGCTGAAGACCTGTTAGCTGAAACAGTGATTTCACACCTTTATTATTTTCTTTAAACCGGCTCCAATTGTATTTTTGCTTTGTTTTCCTACAGAGCATGTTCCTGGATCTGGCAAAGGCACCCATGTTTTAAACATTCCTTATTCTAGTTTAATTTTTTATACTTAGCCCAATTATGAACATTTTCAGTATAAGCTGCTATAGCAGTTTTCTTCTCTGAATTTAAAGCGAAGAAAGCTTAATGTTTAGGACACAGTTTACTAATAGCTATGCATAATTTGTTTATGTCTTGTAAACACCTTTGTAAGAATATGTGCTGAACTCTTGTCATTCAGTAGAAGGTGCATTTTTGGCTGTATCAGAAGTTCTATTTCTACGAGTGTTTGTACATAAGGGGGAGAGGGAATCAGCTTAACTGTATGTAGGGTATGTGTATGAGTGGATGCCTCTATGTTAAATTTTATTTTTTGGTTTACTGTACCAGCTACTAAAACATAATTAATGATTTAGGAACTATTATATTTAACACTTAATTCAGGTTTTCAGAGAATACAGATTTTAAAGAAATTTATTTCACAATTTGTCTGTAGATTCGAATACATTTTTATAGAGTATATAAGTATGTATACTTACACACTCTACCTATATACTTACTCTCTATATATACTTATATATACATCTAAAATATTTAGAAAGTCATATTAAAGTAATTTTGAAAGAAGCTTCAGGTTTTCTTCCTGTTTTCTCTGTCCTTTTCTTTTTTAACAATAAATAACAGTGCAGGAAATAAAAGGTAGCTTCAGTTTGAAGAAACTATTGGACTGTATGAGCATTGCAGCTGTTCTTGTTTGTGGCCATTTCACTGCTCCTGTTGGTTGATGCAATAAAAATCAAGTTACTGGTATTGTGTTGTAAGGGAGTTAGAGTTGTTTTTCTAAGGTGAAACTCTTATGTTTTCACGTATAATAGCATTTCAGGCCCCTATATGAGACAGAATCCACAATGAGAGAGAGAAGAAATAAACTGTACAGGCAACATAATTATTAAATTTTTTCCTTGATGTTGTTTTGTTGTTTGGTTTTTTTTTTCCAATGGAGAGCCTCAGTGTTGCTTGCTGAAGGTAGCATATTTGAAAAATAAGGTACCACTTACTTAAATGAGACAAAGGCAGAGCAAGCTTCAGATGAGAACGTGTTAGTGAATATTGTGTACAAGTGAATATTGTGAGTGAATATTACTATATGTAATCTATTGCTAACTGCCTGCATAGATACGTCACCCAGAAAGCTACGTGCTTGGTACCTAAATCTCTTACGATATGTAATGAGAAGGTTGTATGCTTGAAAAAGAAAATTTAAAATATGGCATAGTGAGCGTGATCATAACTGGACACATAGAATTAAAGTTTAATTTTTTCTAGAAAAAACTCTTCACAGTAGCTAATATTATCTATTTCTTTTCATTTTAGAGATACAATGTAGAAATGTCAATCAGGCACCTGAAAAAGATGGAACTGCTTAGTAAGGTTGAAGCTCTGAAGAAAAGTGGTGTTTTACTAGCAAATGATCTCCTTGAAAAAGTGGATTCAATTAATGAAAAATGGGAACTGCTTGGGGTATTTGCATTTTTATTACTGTTTGTGGGTCATGTGTACATTTTTGTGTGTTGAAGTACGCTGTCTGTCTGATTTCTAATTTGAGGCACAAATATCTCTCTCTTTCAATTCACCACGTACATTTCAAACAAGCTACTCATGCTATGATAAAAACTCCATAGTATTTTCCTCTTCTGTTGATTTTTTTTTTATTCCATGCTTGTCTCCTGTCTGAGTTTAATAATTTTCATTCTTTAATACATAAAAAATGTAAGTAAAATATGCCATGTATTACGGGTATGCACCAAGTCAACTATAATGCAGTATATCTGATATACACTGACTGTCATGCTTGAGTAAATGTTAATAGAATTTATTCTGAAGGTACATGTTAGAGACATCTACTGTTTAACTATTTACTACACCCTTAATATGAAAAGCAGGGTTGTCGCTGCATATTTCAGGTCACACTGATGGCTCAAAAACAAATATGCAGATTCAGTACAAATCTGAATACCTGAAGCTAAGAATACAGCCAGGATATGTTTCATGCTGCTGTATTCAACTCACTTTTGACAAAAGCCAAAAAAGTTTCATGTAATTCATTTCACGCTATGATGGGCTGGGTCTCAGCCAAAGAGTGAGATACAAGAATCTGGCAAAAAAAGCCATATAGTGATTCTGTTACCCAGAGACCAGTGATGGCACTGTGCAGGAGACACTATTGTCCTGTTGTTGTAAAACAGCTGAGAGAGAGAGAGAGAGGTCAAACTATATATTTTTCCATCCACTTCTCTCCTTAATTGCCTTCACTTCAAATCAAGGGTAAGATAAATTTATAAATTACTTTAAATTATTATAGATGTGTGATATTAGCAATACAGTTACATTGCATAATTCTGCATGCTATTATCTTAGTTTAAAAAACATGTCTAATCTATTATGAGGAAACTATACATGCAGCCTGCCAGCAGCATTTTAGATGCTGACTTGTGTCACTTCAGCTTGTTCGGTAAGGCAATAGCCATTTTACAGAGGGTGGGGCTTTTGTAGTTCAGCACAGTAGTTTCTAATTGCTTGATTCTCTAAATGTGCAAATTGTCAGAAAATGTTGAAAGTTGCCTTATGACTAGTGAGCTTATTATTTTTTTATTTTAATATGCAGCATCACCACAAGCATTTTAAAACTATTTGAGTATTAATATATTTACTGATAAAAATTGGACTTATTAACCTATTCTTTTAGATCTGATCATGACAACTTGTATTTTTAAAATAATTTCAGTTGTAAGCCTTACTTTTATGACTTTCAATGTATTTAATCAGCTTAATTCAATGGCACTGTGTAGAGCTGGTAGGAGATAAAACCACGAGATAAGTAACTGATCAGAATTCTAAAAATCTAGAAAAACTCTTCCTTAAAAAAATGGGAACCCTCCACTTCTCAGTATTTTAAAATCAAAATATACCTCTGGATTAAGTTTTGCCATTAATTTCAGCATTTGCAGAAAAAGAAAATATTACATTTTTCCTGCTAAATGCAATTTCATGAATAATAAGCAGAGTTTGATAGAGTTTTGTTTAATTTAATAAAAACCTCTGCAGAAACTAACGGCACTAGGCATACTGTTTTAATTGGCATGATTACGTTTTAATTGGCATGAAAAAAATTAAAGACAAGGATTTTAACTTCTAACAATGGTAAAATAGAGGGATATGGTTTTTAATATTACTTTCATCTAAGGTGAACAGTGTGGAATGGAAATACATTAGAATGAAATGTCAGTGGTGCGTACAGTTTAATCTGTGAAATTTTGTCCCCTGTGCTGAATATTACTCTGTCTCAATTGCATATTAAAGAACCCTATCAAGGCAGGCATTGGCATCTGCTGTGCTGACACAAATTGTGAATTAAATGAAATTGATGTCCTCTGTCGTATATTTATGAAGACGGACCATTCTCTGAAGTATTCTGTTTATGAAGAATTTATGAATGCAAACTGTTCCAGAACAAAAAAGTGGCAATAAATTCTTTTTTGTGACCCTACCCTCCAAGGGCATTGATTTCACCTCCTGCTGCTACTTTTGTTACAGCATAAAAACAATAGCTAGCGCTGGATTCCACTGAGGGTCTTCAAATTATCAATATTTACACCATGAAAATAGAAGGGTGTTGCCAAGAAAGCATGTTTTACAGTTATGATCTCCTAAAGACGTTATTTACAGAATGCCAGATAGTAGGTTAATGTCTGTTGATCTAATTTTATTTGTGTTTTAAAGATTATTTTTGGAAGCTAACCTTTGTTATAAATTGTACTCTAGTAACTTTCTAAAGCATGTATTTTCAACAGACAGCCATACCGGGTCGCCTAAAACCGTATCTTCATGTTAAAACAATTAACCACTGCTAAATATCAGTTTAAAAGGTTATTGGACGTGATTGCCAGTGTATATTCAATATTCTGCAATCAGTAACACAGATCTATTGCTTATAATAAGTGTCAGACTGACAGCCTCTTATAGGTCAGATAAAATACTGCTTGGCATAGAAGAAGCAGGCAACAGCATATCTCCCTTGTGATGTTAAAGGATTGCTTTTCAAAATACTGAAAAGGAAGGTAGCTTTCTCTCCCTAGCCTCTTCAGAATATTCATTATGCTCACAGCGTCCACTATCAAAATGTTATTCAGTGGTTCTTTTATTACAAATACTACTTTGAAAAGCTGTACTAAATTAGTTTCATTAGCGATCAGAGGTGAATGTTTATTCTGGTCCATTATTTTTAAAGTGGATGCTTAACCTGGAGAACTTAAATCCAAATTTAGTTGCCTAAATAATTATCCTGATGTTCAGGAACATTGAGGCTTTGCAATTTCTAGCTTATTGGTGTCTGAATGAGTTCACCCACTTTTAAAAGCAAACCAGCTGTTTGGTGGCCTAGCTGCTCCTGTATACACCTTCAGGGCTACTAGTTTGGAAACTATGACCTCACAGTTCATACCTCAAAAAATATTTCAGTGTTTCCCCAAAAACTTAGATGGTACCTTGGATAAGAATTTAGTGAACTCAGTGCTTGTCCTATTTTCTGTTGCTGCCTAGAAACCAGTAACTCTCATGGTCATAAACATCTAAAGCCACAGGCAGATTCTGTAGAGTAACTACTTTAAAAAGTTATGTACAATTTTGTCTCCTCTGTCCATAGTTGCTCTTAATAAACATTGATTTATCATGCTTCCAGCAAAGTCAGTGGCCCAGAGAGAATGGCATAAGTGAGAAACAAAGATACAAAAAATAAAATTGATTGAAACAAGGAAACAAAGCATTAATTTGATTTATATTAGCAGTAATTATTCAAAAAATCCACATCTCTAGTCATCTAACAGATGCTTGTTATTGCATGTTAACCTATATATGTTTTGTTACATAGGACTAATCTATGTTTTCTTTTTCTGATGCCTTAGAAAACCCTAGGAGAGAAGATCCAAGACACAATGGTAGGGCACAGTGGGTTAGGTCCACGTGACCTGCTCTCGCCTGAAAGCGGCAGCCTGGTAAGGCAGCTGGAGGTCAGGATCAAAGAGCTGAAAGGGTGGCTGAGAGATACAGAGCTTTTCATCTTCAATTCCTGTCTGAGACAAGAAAATGAAGGAACAATGAATGCTGAGAAACAACTGCAATATTTTAAGGTAATAAAAAGCAATCATAGTTTTCATAGAGAGCCTCCTCTTTATGATAGGATAAAATATGTATCTTATGCATAACATAATGCAATGCATGTACACATGTAATCATATATTCATATTTTTGCCTTCATTTATGTACTATGTGTTCATTCAAGTTGAATTTATTGAATATTTACAATAATATTTATTCCTTAGACTTTTTGCAAAAGAAAAAGCAATAGTATTCTTTCATTCTACTTCACTATAAAGCTGAGTTTTTTCAGGAAAAGCTTCACTCTGAATTTCACTCCCTACGTCAGTTAAATGAATTAACGTGTTTTGTGGCTATCAGTTTAATAGCCTATTTCTCTGCACATATGAGTCAAGAGTAGCCTATTTGAGGTCACATTTACAGAGATATAAATTTAGCATACATGAGAAAGCATTCATGTTTGTGGTGAATAGATATGTGGCAAAAGACATATACACTATGAGATTTGCATTAATCTAGGCCACATCTTAAGCCTAAACCTGAAGGTTTATAAGCTCCTTCAACTGAAGGCCAGCATTCAGCTTTGCAACTGACTTAATGGAGGTTGTATGTTTTGTTCCGTTCCCCAAAAGTATTGGGACTATTTAGGAAAGAGGGCTATTAAGTTAGAAAACAAACCTGGTAGAAGCATGTGATTTTCTTCTGTTCATGTCATTTGTAAATAAAACCGCACCTGAGTTGTCATTACGGGTCACTTTAATCTGCAAGTGATCTTTGACCAAAGAATAAGGAAGGAATCATGAGTAATTGTCGAGCTTTAGAGGTAAAGAGGTTTTTCTCTTCCAGTAGTACATCAGGGTGTCTAGGGCAACAACACACTTAAGGTGATGGACAATTTATTAAATACTCACCTCAAAGGGCATGTTGCAAACACTTCTAAGCATACTTTTTTATACAAGTGTTCAAGAAAACAACAGCAGAAAAATTACTTTCTTCCCAATTAGTCATTCCTTAACTCTTCCTTTTCCAGTTATGAGGATTAGTGAGAAGGTTGTATCAATGTAGATAAAGTTGGTAGAATTCTTTTCAGGTTCCTGAGCCTGTCCATTTGAATGCAATTTTAAGCTTTCTTATAACATCTACATTATTTTTTTTAATGATTTGTAGTCTTCTGGTAATGGGGGAAAAATCATGCTGATTCTGTTTGTTCTATCAGCAAACTTTAAAGCTAGTGATTATGAAGGACTGTTGATAGACCTGCAGAAGTTCACAGCAATAGATCCCTGTTTTCCATAGGAAATGCTGGATGGTTTTTATTTCTGTGGAAAATTTAGGTATTTATTTAAGTGCATAACTGTGGATTTAAAAATCTAATTTTGGACAAACTTGTTTTTAAATATACATTTATATATATATATGGCTAAGACTTATATATATATATATCTGAAGAGAAGTACCATAGCAAGGTTACTTAAGTATTTAGAATGTGCATAAATCTCTCAAATGGAATCTTTTAATACATATTTGACATGACATCATGCCAAGAGCTCTAGAGATGTTAAACAGGATAGCACCACCCACAATGATGTAACCAGAATATTTCATTACTCAGTTGATTATCTATTAATTACATAAATAATACGTTAATTATTTTCCAAATGGTAGCCATTAGAGTATAAAAAATAATTACCTATCAAACATGGTGAGAGTACATCACTTTGTCGTATATATTAAACCATCTTTGTCTCATTAAATCTGAAATCCACTATAAGTAAGTTTTCCATTCTTCACTGATCTCGTGGGGAAGTGTATAAAAGAGAAAATGGATATAATTAACAATACTGCAATGTATAATACATATATTTGAGAAAGAACATTTAGAACATTTTCAAAAACATTAGCTATGCCACTAGTAGGAAACCTGCTGGGGTTTAGTTTGACTTACTTTCCACTTAACTTAAGAGTTTAACCTTATTACTGCTTTCACTGTGGTAAGTGATTCATTGTTTCTTAATGGAAATTCATTGTGCTGCATCAACCTGATTATACACATAGCCACTGTACACAGAGAGACGTTTTTAATAAAATAAACTGAACAATGCTGTTGATTTTCATTCCAAAATGTTATGTTTTAAATTACACTTATCCCTTAGAAAAAACAGTTATTTCATTTTTCAGGTGTTTTCCTTTCATTTTGCAATTGGATGATGAATTGAATGTATAGACCTCATGCAGTTGAGACCCCAGATGAAAACAATTTGGTGGGAGGAGTGGTTGTTAAGTTCATTAGTAGGAAATTTTTTAGACTTCTTTGTTTTCTTTTATAAAAAATCATGCCATATTAATTTAAGTGTTCTTTTTATTAAAGAATGTACTACTGTGTTACTTTTCTTTTGGGATATTGCTGTGCAATAATAATACTTAGCATTTATATAGTACTATCCAGTCAAGGAGCTGTACATGCTGTACAAACATTAATTAACTAAGCCCCACTAAACCTTTAAGGTATGTATTATTATCCCCGTTTTAGAAAGGAGGGAAATAAAATGCACAGAGATTAAGTAACATTTCCAAGTTTTCATAGAAAGTCAATGGCTGTGTTAGGGTAGAACCCAGCAATCATGATCCTAATCTTTGGCACTAACCACAAGGCAGCCCTTCCTTCCTTCCTCTAGGTTACTTTTCAGTATATTCCATTTTCACATGTGATTAAAAGAGTCTGCTTCCTTGGGTTTACTGCTGTTTCTTGTTTATATTTAAAGTTTTTTTTTGAACATGTCTGGCTAATTTTTTCCATCATTATTAGCATATTTAGATATTAGAATTACTAGAATATTTTTAGGTAAGGTCATTACCCAGGTTACATAAAGTCCTGTATTTCTTGGTTTTGTGGAAACTGTGATATACTTTGGTCAGCCCAGTGGTCTCTGGAATACAACATGCAGCTGGTCTGCATAGCCATTTGGTTACTCATTCCACCAACTTTCAGTGTTCCTGGTGGCCTAAAACATTTTCATATTTAGTTATGAAGAAGAGTCATGAACTTTGCTTCAGTCTATAGTGACACTTGCTGGCCGTTCCACAGCAGCATTAGCTGAGCTTCCAAGTGGATCCTAACCCAGGCTGCTGTCGAGAAGGGGGAAAGAGAGCACACAAGTTGCTCAGCTGTGAAGGAGGAAGTGTGGGTGTCTTATTTCTGGTTTGTTTTCTTATGTTGCAACATGAAAAACCTGCGAAGCTGAACTGAGAAAATCTAGAGATTGACTTAAAATTCATGAGATCTTCATAACTGCGAGCGTAATTTATTTTACTTATTCCTCCTTTTTATTTCTGTTCTGCCTTTTGAGTCCCTCGAGTTCATGTTTTCTAGCTTTACACTGAAATGATGAGGACAAGGACCAGAAACATACTTTTTAAATGAAATACAAGCTTCTCAGGTAAACACATAATTCTAGCAGCTGAAAGACCTAATGTCGTGAGACTAATAATTGGCAGAACTGATTTCCTAACGCAACGATGTATGGCAATTTTGTGGATCAAGGGAGATTTGGAGCAGGAAAGAATGAGGAGCAATAATAGAAAGAATTCACATTCTTTCATGAGAGATTTAGTAAATTTGATTTCAAGAAGATCTAGCTAGAAATTTGTGTTCTTGTTGGCTTGTAAGTAGAAGTGTTCTGCCACTTTTGCTTTTATGTGTCTGAGACTTCAAAAAGCATGCTGTTTTCTCTGCAAAGTGCACTCCAAAAGGCAGCAAGGGAGCCTAAATAATTAGTAATATATTTCTGTCACTTGCAATGAAACTTATGTCTTTAAGTGTTCAGTATAGAGAAATGACCCATCAGCATCAAAATGGTAGTTGTCATGGCTTTGGCTCACGGACCAGCTACTCAAGAACAAGACTAGACTTGCGAGTATCTTTCAGTCCCTTCTCGATCACGTAGAACTGGGAAAGCTTCTGTTGCTTTTGGTAGTGAGATTTTTTAAAGGATCCTGTTTGGAGAGGGAACAGGATTTTTCTGTCCAGAACAGGATTTTAGCAGAGGTTTTCTGCTAAATTGTGTTCTTTGGCAGTAATAATGTTGCATTTCATGTTGTTTTCTGATACAGCTTTATTTGAAGCAATAAACAACATGCTATATACATTGCTATGCCTGTCTCCTAAATCTGTATTTGGGCCTTTAAAAAAAAGAGACCTGAATTTCAGTAGTCCTGGAAGCTTGTGGTTCTCATTGACTTTAGTTAGTGTATTCATTAAAGAAATCAGACAGTTGTACCAAAAAATGTTGGAAATGTTTTCTCATTTAATATTTATAAAAGTCAATGATCTATTGAATTCCATAGCTAGCAGTATTTGTAGAGGATAACAGAGGACACGTTGGCTCACAGAGAAAGCTTCCCAAACTGGCCATTACAAAGTAAAACTTACAATTTCATAGTGACAAACAGCTTACAGTTCCTTTCCCAAACCTTTAATATCAAAGACATCTGCAGACTTTGGGCTATATTTCCCCTCTCAATCATGGCCTCTTGAACAGTGAGATGTCTAGAAGTGAAAATAGCTGACTTGGCATCTTTTGAGAGAACATTCTCAGTTCCATCACTTATTATTGTCCTTATCATTGAAGATATAATTGATGTTCAACCAAATGTCTCGAAAATGTGACTGTCTATTGTCCTGCTATTGCCTTTAAGATCTATTTCCTGCAAAACCAGAATCTTTCTGTTACTGTCAACATAGAAAAGGAAAAGGGAAACGAGAAGAAAGCAAAAGGTGACAAAAGAAACAGAGAAATAAATATTTCTCCTAAAAATAAGCCAAGATTGACTTGCACCAGTTTACAGTGAGGGTTTGTACTTTGGTTGGCCTCTAAGCTTTATCTTCTTTGTTAGTGATAACATATAGAAAAAAAGTCCAGTGTGGACTGGAAATATAAGAGAGTTAACAGAAATTCACTGTACTGTCACCATTAAGGTCCACTTTGTGCTACTGCATATGATTATGTGATTTATTTGATTGTCTATAACTGCC